TTTTTTTTTTTTTGGGTGAGCAGAGTTTGACAGCTGGTCGGGACGAGGTTGTGATGGACAAAGGGAGGAGTTGTTGGCGTGCGGAGCTGCCAGCGGTTGGAGGATGGCGGTATGTCGCTGGGCGTATCAGTCTGCATGCATGGCGGCGATCCGAGCGTGGTGCCTGTCACTCGTCTCATCAAACCGCCGACCCTTTGTCTGCCCTACTCTTTGGCCGTCAAGTCCTGGCTCTTTTGAGATGATATAAGTAGGTCGAGCTGATGCTGGGGGAGCCACTTGCAGACTCCATCAAGATGTCGCGCGATTTGTCTCCCACACGCGGGATCGAGTCTGCTGAACTCACCCTCACCGCGCTTTCGCTCCGCCGCCCTGGCGCGCGCACCACGCGCTCATCCCTGTACGGTTCCGACTGGAGCAGCTCCGGCTCCAGCGATGCCGATACCGATAGCGAATCCATCTTTGTACGAGTGCCAACTCGTCGCCCCACTCGCGCTCGGGGCGTTCGTCCAGGCCTACTCAATCTCGACCATCCTCCTTCGCCGTTTGGAGCGTGTCGTCTTGGAGCCCCTCGCCCACCTCGACCCCCACGCCCAATGGCAGACCAAGCCAAGGCGGAGCCGGAGATAGACGAGCCTCAAGAAATGGTGCCTCGACCCGATCCAGAGTACGTCTACGAGGCACTGCGGTCGGCATGGCACTCGATCGAGGCACTGGCAAGAGAGCACGTTCCTCCACTCATGCGCTGGTTGAGCGGCGCGGAACATCCGGATCAACTCGCTCCCATTGTACCCATCACATTTCTGGCTGCGCTGTTGCTGAGACCGAAGTGGGTCTGGTCCACCGTCCGATTCGCAGCACTGTTCGTAAAGGAGACGGCGCGGTTCTACATCGTGATTGTGCGCGATGGACCTTTCGGCCTCTTCCGGCAAACCGTGTATCATCATGTCCTATCGAACCGTTGAAGTTTTCCCACTGCTTTTGGAATCGCAATCCTTATTCTTCCTCACTCAGCTCGCTTTCCTCCGCATCGTGAGCTTTCTTTCGCGCCTTGGTTGGCTGGTTCGAAGAGCGCTTCTTGACCGCATGGGCGGCGGCGGCTTGGATGATGACCTGGTCGGCTTTTGCCAGCCACTCTTCGGCTTCTTTCCACTTCCCCCACTCCGTCCCACGGAGCGCATGGAGGGCTTGGATCTGAAACGACCACACCTGATGCATCTTGACCGTCGCTTCCTTGGCCGCATATGCTGCGGAAGCTGCGCCCAGGGCAGGCGTCTCGAGGATGAGCGGTATATCGGCACAGCGCGGATCGTTGACGATGTTCCAGAACCCACCGATGCCGATACATCCCCGGCCGATGTTCTCATGTCGATCCCTCCTGCATCCCAGGCCAAATTTGGAGTCGTTCAAATGCATTGCTTTGACGCACTTCCAACCGAGGGTGCGGTCGATCTCGGCTGCGAAGTCGGCATATGCTTGTGGGGTGGTGAGGTCGTAGCCCGCTGCAAATGCGTGGCACGTATCGATGCAGACACCCACACGAGACCTGTCCTTGACGTGCGATAGGATGCATGCCAGGTCCGAGAGCGATGATCCGAGCAGCGTATCGTTCTTTGAGCCGGCCATGTTTTCGACGAGGATGGTGACGGAGCGCGTAAGTGCGTGCGCGCGGTTGATGTACGACGCCACCGTCGCGCACGCTTCTGCCTTGGCGGGACGCACGCCGTTGACGCGCTCTTCCACCGGCGCATCCGCCACAGACGCCGCCGTCATCGAGCCCGGATGGAAGTTGAACAGACGGATGCCGAGCAGCTCGCACCGACGCAGATCGTCCATAAACGCCTCGAACGACTTGTCCCGCTTCGCCTCGTCCGGGTTAGCCAGATTGACCAGGTAGCAGCCGTGCGGCACGACGAATCCATCTGGTGGAGCAGAACCTAGCGCAGAGGACTTGGCGGGTGCAGGCATGAACGAGTGGTCCAGCACACGCTGCTTGAACAGCTCGGCAGAGGTGTCAGCGATAGGTGTCGAGGCCCACTGCATCTTGGGCCGCACGAAGCAGGAAAATGCGTTCGCCCCGATACGCAGCGCGTTGAGCGGTGCATTCTCCACACCACCGGCCGAGCTGATGTGCGCGCCGATGTACAGACCCCTCGGAGCGCCCGCTCCTCCCGATACCGCAGCGGACACGGGCGGAGGCCGCGGCGGGAAGATCTCAGCTTCGTCGACCTCTTTCTTCGTCCGCCGCCTTTTGATCGCAGGTGCAGGTTTCACCTCGTCCGTTTCGGGCTCTTGCTTGATCGGCGGCGCGGGGGGTTCTGCTTTGACGCGGCGTCGTGCTTGCGATGAAGGCGCGACTTGCGGCGAAGGAGCATCAGACTCGGAGTCGACTTTCTGCCGCTTTGTTGAAGGAGGTAGCTGCCGCACTGAGGACGTTGTTGCGTTTGGTATTGGGTTCTCCTTTGGCGACTGCTGGACTGTCGTACTCGCACTCGATGCTGACCTGCGGCTACTGCGTCGGAGCGTCGAGGAGGAGGCTACGGCCTCGACGGCGGTCTTGAGTGCTTTCCTGGGCGTCATTGCGCAATGCAACTTTTTCCACCCTCTCAATAGGGAGGTACAAAGCCGTGGATGCGATGCAGCTGCGGATCGAAAGCACGAAGAAGAAGTTCCGGGTGGTCTGGAATCGTTCCGGCGGTCAGCAGACCCTTTCCTCGAGATGTCAAGGCGGGCGTGTGGAGGTGGAGACGCGATTTTCGACTTTGTTGCATCATAGGACCTAACATGACTCGCCTTTTGCATCTGCACCAACAAGCTTGCACCCAGTGCAACTAGGCTGGCCGGCCTTAGATCTCACACTCTGCGTGGTAGCGACGGCCAAAAGGAAGGATGGAGAGGGGCATGCCTGGACGCACGGAGACGGTCGGTGGTTGGCAGGCAGTGCCAAGCCCGACATTGGTTTCGAAGAGCAGAAGAGCGGCGCGGCGTGGTGTTGATTTTTGCGAGGCATTTTCGGGTGCCAAGCGCACGCCAAGACTCTGAGCCAAGAGAAATTCCGTCCCTCTCCCTCTCTCAAGGCAGCTGCCAAGACCTCCAAGCCCCGGTTGGCCTTCGGGGCGCTGGGCCCTTTGTCGAACAGTGCGCCAAGCCCACACCCACATGCCAGACGCAACTCCTCTGCTGTCCTCCCTTTGGCTCCGATCAGGGCGACCCACCTCGCCTCGCCTTACCGGAATCATCGCACTCTTGCGTTCAGATCCAGGCTCGTTTTGGCTAGCCGTGTCTGATGCCACGGAAGTGCGCGACCGTTGGAGCATAGGCGAGCGAGAGGCTGTGTAGGTTTGTCCTTGGTGTTGAGGATGGGGCTTCCCGCTGCCAAGCTTTCGATGCGACGGACAGTCGCCATGCGATCGCAACGTGTCTGCAGCTGTGCGCACAAGAACCCTCTCGCATCCTGATTCATGCAAGCCGCTCACCATGGCAGTCAGCACGTCCACCTCGAGGCTGCGGGGCGGAGAATCTTCTCTCACATCATTACGCATGGCGCCGAAGCCTTCCCGGTCCTGCGCACATCAAAACAGCAAGAGCAGGCACAGTCAGCTCGGTCATGGGTGAGAGACAGGCCGACGGGCGTCTCCTTGCGCATTCAGGGCGAGCATGCAACTCGACCGGAATGCAGATCCTTTGGCCGCTGCCATACCCCTCAGCCTCGAATCTTGGCAAACAGCCTCTCCGGTCCCCGCTAGGAGACTCGCGATTCTAGCGAGACCCTTTGCCCTTCTTGGCGGCCACGCATACACATACACACAGCTCCGTCCGCAAGCTCGAAGAGTGTCGCTGCTGCCTGCTACCGCTTCCACGCTGATGGAGTATATTATGCTCCGCGCTTGGTGCGATGCTCCCGCAGTTGCGATCCCTCCTCCACACTACCCCCCGGACCTGTTTTTGCTCCATCTCCACGCTTTGCGGACGACGGGAACATCATGACCAAGATCACACTCTCTCTGGCTATTGCCTCGGCGCTTCTGGCGGGCCATGTGTCGGCACAGAATGGACCCGACCCGCGCGCGACCACGGACCTGAACCGCAACCAGCCAACCAAGTCGTGGACGCAGTGGCAACCCAAGGCCACGTATGCGCTCAACGAGCTTCCGGATCAGTACATGGGCTCCAACCGCATCGAGTCGGGCGAGGGTGGACAGCCCGGTGGTGAGCCGCAGTCGGGCTACAACACGTGTGCGCGCAACACGTGGAACCAGGACTCGCGCTGCCAGACCGCATGGATCAACTCGCTCGACGACTTCTGTCTCTGGGGTCCTGCCGAGTACGGCACCGTGGGCGAGAAGGAACGTTCCGGTGTCGCCTACTGCACCACCGACAAGCACGGCACGCGTCTGATTCCGGACGGTACGATTGAGGGTGCGCACTTTGTGCGCACGCGCGACTACGTCCAGGTCACGGGCGTGGGTGACTTCACCAGCATCCTCATCCCCGACGGTGATGATGGAGGAGAGTTCGACCCTCACGGTGCGGATGACCTGGGTAACCCCATCGGCGGTATCCTCTACACCACTGCCAACCCGGCCTCGAACGGCGAGCCGTGGTTCGTGAGTGAGTGGACCAACTTCATGTCGTACAACCAATTCTGCCTGCGTGCATGCTGGGGTCAGCGGGCAGCTGCACAGTGCGAACACATCTACGACGTCATGGGCTGCAGGTGGAACATCCCCGCCAACTACGATGCAGGCGTTTTCGAGTCGTGCGATGGCGACATTGCCATGCTTCAGGGCATCTACGGCAGCTCCACCTTCCGTCAGGGCGATGCTGCCACGCCATCCGCCCACCCGGCCCCGGCTAGCAGCCAGTGCTCCACCGCCAGGACCATCAGCCACGGCCTCCTCGCCGTCAGCCAGGCACAGAGCTCGTCGTCGTCGTCGTCGGCAGAGCCCACCTCGTCTGGTGCTTCCGCTTCCGCTGCTGCAGGTAGCACCTCGACCATGAGCAGGGTCCAGTCGGCTGCTACTTCGCCCGTCTCGGCGGGTAACACTGGTAGCTCCACCGGCAACTCGGGCAGCAGCACCCCGCAGAACAACGCCGCTTCGGGCGCCGCCTCGCTCGCCATCCCCGTGGCGCTCACCGGCCTCGCTGCCATGGCCGCCGCCGCTCTCGCACTTTGATCACGCCCTTGCCGACCTCAACTAGCTGCATTGTATCCCCTTCGCTTTCATCCCACGGACACTCTGTTCTTCATAACGCGCATTGAACCAGGATGTGTTTCAGCCTCGAAATTGACGCCTGAATCAAGCTATGCAATGACATGAGGCGTGCGGCTACTCGCTGGCGGCAGCAGCTTGGCTGGTGAGACGATCGCGTACAAGGCGCGACCACATCTCGTCGTTGATCGCCTTGGCCTGCTGCAGTTGCGATCGCAGCAGCTGGTTTTCCTGGCTGAGCTTGTCCGTCTGTTCGGCATTATGGCCATTCGCCTTGACCGATGCAACACCCGCAGGCGCGTTGACCGTGCCCATCGGCGACGAGAATGCGCCCAGCAGGTCATCTGACACCAGCTGGCTGTCCCACTGCGGATCAATGAAGCTGTCCACACCATCGTGTGCCAGGGGCGTGTTGGCAGTATCCGCAATGCGCGTGAGGTAAGGCGTGGTGAGACGCTCTTCTTCGGATGCCAGTACGTGGCGGCTGAAGTTGGCGATGGGTCGAACAGGGATGCTGCCTGCAGCATTTGCTCCGGCACCACCTGCACCTGCAATCGCAGACCCTGCGCCGCTCTGCCCTGCCGTCTCCCAGTGGCCGAGCAAGTCGCGCGGCTTGGGAAGCACCACGAGGTTGGTCACTGCATTCTTGCCCGTCACCGCGCTGGCCTTGGCATTGCCCAGCATCGAGACGGTGCGGAGGATCTGCGAGTTGGACACGTCCACCACAAACAGGTTGCCTGCCGCACTGCCGACGAGCAGCGAGGTCGAGTTGGACGACAGACACATGCTCGAGATGGGTTCGCGCATCGCAATGATGCTCGACCCGTTCGCCGCCGCTCTCCCCGCCGCATCGTTTGCCGAAGCAATGCGCTCGGTCGTTGGGCCAGCAGCCGAGCCAAAGCCGTAAGCCTCCACCGCCGTCGCGCCGCGCAGCTCGTCAGTGACAAAGTCGAATGCCGAGCCGTTGGTGGCGATCTTGGACTCAACCATCCTGCTGCTCGCATCGCGCTTGCGGAACAGATCGATACGGTACACCGCGTTCTCGCCCGAACCTGGCGATGTGGCGGCAAAGAAGAATCGTTCGGTGCAGTCGAGTACGACGCGGTGGATGGGCTGCTCGAAGATGAAGGTGCTGAGCAGAGCGCGCGTGCGCAGGTCCCACATCTTGACGGTCGAATCCGCCGAGCTGGACAGAATGGTGGTGTGGTTGGGGAAGCGGCCGCTGGCGATGTGCAGGTCGGTGATGGCGAGGTTGTGGTCGGCGAGCGTGCAGTAGGGTGTGGGATTGTGTTCGGAGCTGGTGATGGCCGAGCTGGTCTGATCGTGTGGAGCGAGCAAGCCCGCCAAGCTCCAGACGAGGATCCTCGAGTCTTCTGAGCCCGTCACCAGCGCCGCACCATCCTGTGTCCACTTGAGCACCGTCACCGAGCGGTAGTGCGCATCGAAGGAAGCGAGGAGGTCTCCGGTTGCGATTTGCCAGAGGAAGATGCGGCCGTCGAACGAGCCGCCTGCGACGAGCTCGCCGTTTGGAGAGGCAGCGATGCAGGCTAGCTTTTGCGGAAGGATGATGCGCTGAAGCGGATGATCGCGCTGCCACGAAAAGACGTTGAGCGTTGCCTTGTTGTTCTCGAGCTGCAAGACGAGACCGCCTACGCCCGAGACGGCTGGGTTGGGCGACGTAGGGATGACGGTGACCGAATGAGAGGCGAGATCGGAGACACCCTTGAAAGTGAAGAGCGCGGATGTTGATGAAGGCGCGGTGACCGTGGTGAGACCCATGGATCCGACGAGAGAAGACGAGGAGGCGGTCGAGTAGAGGAGGCATTCTGTCGCAAAGAGCGACGATGCCGAGGATGACGACGCCATGCTTGTGAGCTCAGAGTGGCGATGCTGGTCCGTGAACGTGGATGACCGAGTTCGAAGCTAAGCTTGATGGTAGCGAAGGTACGTCAAAAGAAGGCTCACCGGTCTTTACTGGTTGCGCTAAGCTGGCTGCGAGAAATATGAGAAGGGCCCCTGCCTTTTTGGACCTGCAAGAAATTCTTGGGTGGAGTCGACGGAACTCGGAACTTGGCAAGACGCATCGCAATCGCGCCGAGGCAGAATCGATCGGGGAACACCGACCGGCTCTCTCCGTCGCGCGATCCAAAGCATGCGAATGGAGTCTCGGTCTTCAAGAGCTCATCCATCGTTCATGTGCGGTCGAGTCTGGAAACGATCGTCAAATTGGCAATAAGCGTCACAGGCCACCGCTCAGCTGCTGTCATACGAGTGCGGCGCGGGGAATGCATCGGGAGTGCGAGCCTTTGACCGGGGCTGACGGCTGAGACAGAGCAGCAGGTTAAAAGGTCAGTCGAGGGGCGGGCG